TGTCTCCTCTGATAAAATTTAAGCTTCTTGAGAGTAGAAATTGATTTTTACCCCCTTTGGCCTTTGAATCCCCATTTCCTCATACATAGTAGGAGCATATTGAATGCTTGCTAACTGATTCATTGATAATGTAAACAACAGGACTTTGTAGCTATAAAACCTTCTATTAATGCATTGTATTGTCATTTGCTTTCCATGGAAGAAAATCTCAGCAAAATACCCCAGATGCCTGGAAGTATGTCCTTGGTCCTGACCATAGAACAAAAGTTGTTTTCTTCACTCTTGGAGTGTATCCATCAATGACAGAAAAAAAGTCAGTGAATTGAAGAGGCTTCAAGCCATTGGAGGTAGGTAATCCATGAGGAAATGCATTATGGACTGAGGGATCGCTTGTAAAATTGACAAAGCTATTTTCTCATGACAAGCATTTGAGGTGGATAATCCACGAGGCAATGCATTCTAGACGGGGTGACCACTTGTGCAAGCTCAGAGGCCAAAATTAGGAAGAGCTAGCTGGCCAATTTGACTAGAATAAAGTGTGCATCAAGGAGGATGGGAGCTAGGTAATGAAAGGCTTTGATTGCCAGGCTGTGGATTTTATATTGTATCTTAGAGGTAACAGGGAGTTATTGAAGTTCTCAGAGTGGAGGCATTGGCCTGGTCAGATCTGTTTTAGGAATATCAACTTGGCAGCTGTGTGGAGGATCAGTTAGAGGCAAGAGACTAGAGGTAGAAAGACCATGTAAGTACCTAATATGTTATTCATGTCAGTCAGGTAGTATGTATTAAGTGCCTGCTATGTACCAAGCACTGTGCTAAGTGCTGAGAATATAAAGAAAGGCCAAAAAAAGTCTCTTCTCTCAGGGAGCTTACAGCCTAATGGATTAGATAACAAAAGCCAAACAAGATGTGTACTGGGGTAAGCTGAGAGTAATTTCAGAGAGATGGTATTAAGACTAACTGGGGAGGTCTTCTAGCAGAAGGGAGGACTTTAACTGAGAATTAAAAGGAAGCCAGGAAAGCTGAGGAAGGAGAGCATTTTCAGGCATGAGGCCGGTGAAAACGCATGAAGTATCCTGTTTGAGGAATAACAAGGAGACCAGAGACAAAGGACTGATGGATAAGTAAAGGTGAGTTAGGTATAAGTAGACTGCAAAGGTAGGAAAGGCTAAGGTTGTGAAGGTCCTTGAAAGCCAAAAAGAGGATTTTATATTCTATCCTGGAGGTAATAGGAAGCCCTTAGAGTTTATTGAATGGGGGAGGATGGTGTCATAGTCAGATTTGCTCTAAAGTAAGAGCCTGCCTAGGGTGCTACTCAAGAGGCCTGGTGCCTCTGATATCTAAAGGAGTTGATGTCAATGGGAACTCAATGTGTATTTGAATGCATTCACAAACACACTTGTGATTTTGTTTGTTTATTTTTGAAAAGAAGAACTTGAGCCTTGGTGTTTTGGTCAATGAAGATATTTCACAGTGCACCATGGTGAAAGGAACAATAGACTTGGAGTGTGAAGGCCTGGGATCAAAGGATGGCTCAGAAATTTACTTCATGTCTCAGTTTCCTTATCTTTACAATGGGAATAATTATACTACTACTACTACTACTTCTTTAATAGAGTTGTTGGGAGGAGTCAATTAGATCGTACATGTAGAACACATTGTAACCATATCAGGTTACATGATTGTGAATGAACAATATGTTTTCCACTTAGGTCCAGCTAATCAAACATGGGCCTATTAATGAAACTTTGCCCTTAATGGAATATTACCAAGTGTTCATTTTGGTCCAGTTTAAATAACTCAGTTACCAATAAAATGTCTACAGTTTCTCCAGAGGAATGTTTTGGTCTTGTTATTCAGGTTGGTGTTTGTCCCACTCCCTACACCCTCTCCCTGCCCCCACTCCTCTCCCTGCACACCACATCTCAGTACAACCCTCAAATCTCTCTCAGCTTAAGAGGTTCTTATCATCCAAATATTTGACAAGGAAGGGGCTATTGAGTTCTCAGGCAACTTGACCAACATCTTTACTGAATCTAATGGTCATTCTACCATGAATCAGCCTGACCTACCTTTCTTATCATGAGAAAAGGGCTTTGTCTACCTCGGAGCACTCTTAAAACATAAATTAGATTTGCTTAAATCAAGATTCCCAAGTGCTATAGCTGGTGCCTTCTCTCCCTCTCCTCCTCCCAACCATATAGCAATGGTATCTTCCAGTGTCAAATTCTAGGGCAGACCTCGGGAAGGGTTTTTTTTCTTGGAGAGAAGTGGAATCACTTCTTATATGCTTTCCAGGCATAGAAGAGTTCCAGTGGAAAGTAGAATAGAATCTCTGATTTAGAGAAGGAAAGAACTTAGGCCATTGAGTATAACCCCCTCATTTAGAGGGCAAGGAAACTGAAACTTAAAAAAGTTAAGTGACTTGTCCATAGTCATATAGTTAGTAAGTATAATAGGTTAGATTTGAATTGAGAGCTTTCTAATTCCTGGTCTACCATATCTACTGTAACTTACAGTCAAAGTACATTAAAGCCAATGGACAAACTATACACTAACCAGTTAAGAAATGCATGTTTGCTGGGAAGTTCCATCTTAAAGCTTGCTACAGAGGATTTTAGAGAATTTCATATATGGGTAAGTAATAAACACTGATTGGCTAGAAATTGCAGATTTGCAAAAACAAACAAACAAACAAAAACTTGACCCTTTAGTCTCCACAGAAAAACTGGATCTGGCCAAGCACTAAATGGGAGAAAGGGGAGAAGGTAAATGTAAGCATGCGAGTTTCTCTATTGTTCATGTACATATGTATTGGAGACACCACTAGTAGTAATAATTAACATTTTTACTGCACTTATATGTGCGAGGCACTGTACTAAGTACTTTATAATTTTTATCTTATTCGATCCTTACAACAACATGGGGAGGTAGGTGCTATTATTATCCCCATTTTACAGTTGAGGAAACTGAGGCAAAAAGAAGTTGAGTGATTTGCCCAGGTTCACTCAGCTAGTGTCTGAAGCTGGATTTGAACTCGGGTTTTTGGTTGGATCTTTCATCATGGGAGGAGAAAAGAACAAGCTAGGGATCATAGTTTTACTCCCCCCCCCGCCCCCGTCCGCACTTAACCATTAAGCATGCAAATCTTCTCAACATGCCAATTATTTAACCAAACAGCAGTGGCTTAGAGCAAAGGTGTCATTAGAAGATTTTTCCAGCCAAGACAGACAAGGACTGGTGATCCAATTAAGTAGAAAGAGCCTAGTAGGTACCATTGGACTAGTCAGGCAAGGGAGTCAAGACCAGTGAAACCAACTATAAGACAGGAAGGAATTGACAGTTACTGTGGGTTTAGGGAGGTAAGTAGGTAGGTAGATAGGTATCCAGGAAGGGAGAAATGTAAGGAGGGTGAAGTCCAAGAAATCAGAGAGACTACAAGGGCAATACTAATAATTAGGATTGATCTCTGATTTTAAGGGAGAAGCTGTCTTTTTTTTGTCCCTCTGTTGTCTTCTATTTCCTGAGTGTGGACAGCACTGGACCACATACAGTCATCCTTACAATCAACAAACATCTATATTCTTTATGTAAAATATTATGTTTAAAAGTCAGGAATCTGCAGGGGGGTCCTGTTCATTTCAGAGGGAAATAGTGTTATGTAATAGAAAAAGAGGTAGACTTAGAATTAGAGTGAGAAGGTCTTCAAAGGTTATCTAGTCCAATTCATGGCTCAGAATGAAGCTCTCCTACAATAATGCCAATGTGCCAATTCTCCATTTGAAGATTTCTAGAACTGAGTAAACAGTGGGTATGCCCAAAGGGCAACCAAACTGTGTATATCTTTTGATTCACCGCTACTACATATATACCTTAAAGAGATCATTAAAAAAGGGAAAAGGGCCTACCTATGCAAAATATTTTTAGCAGCAATTTTTGTGGTGGCAAAAAACTGGAAATTGAGGGGATGCCCATCAATTGGAAAGCGGCTGAACACGTTGTGGTATATGAATGTAGTGGAATACTATTGTGCTATAAGAAATGATGAGCAGGCAGACTTCAGAAAAACCTGGAAAGACTTACATGAGCTTGATGCTGAGTGAAGTGAGCAGAACCAGCAGAGCATTGTACACAGTAACAGCAACATTGGACAATAATCAACTATGAATGACTTAGCTCTTCTCAGCATTTCAATGATTGAAGGCAATTCCAAAAGACCCATGATGGAAAATGCCATCCACATCCATAGAAAGAACTATGGAGTCTGAATGCAGATCGAAGCATATTAATTTCCCCTGGTTTTTTTCTCCTTTTAGTCTGTTTCTTCTTTCAAACTGTGACTAATATGGAAATATGTTTTATATGATTGCATATATATGTATATACATATATGTGTGTGTATGCACATGTGTATGTGTGTGTGTGTGAGTGTGTGTGTGTATTTATCTTAAATCAATATCAAATTGCTTACCATTTTAGGAAGAGCAGAGGGGAGGAAGGGAGAGGATAGAGGGAGGTAGAAAAATTTGGAACCCCAAATCTTGTAAAAATGAATGCTGAAATTTTTCTTTACCATATAATTGGAAAATACTATTTAAAAAAGAATGGGAGTGTGATTTAATGGAAAGAAACAAACAAAGAAGTCAAAAGACTAGGTTTGAGTCCCAGCTCTGCCACTTATTAGCCATGTTACCTGGGTTAAATTATTCCATTTCTGAGTCTCAGTTCCTTAATTGTAAAATGGGGGAAATAAAACTTGAACTACTTAGCTTACTGGGTGGTCATAAGAGTGCCATGTAAATCTGAACTATCTCTATTATCACCTCTGTAGGGATAGAGAGGCTAGGATTTCCTCCCATCAGATTCTCAAACGGTTTCTCAAATGAATGATGTTTTATTTAGGTCATCACTTTTCAAGATGGGGATATTTCCCCCAGAGAATTTCTTTGTTTGTACCCCAAAGCAAAATAAGAGGAACATTTTGAGCCTCCAGTGCTTACCGAGCATGCACAAGGGCTTCCTTGCAAACTTCAGTCTCCCCCTCCATCCTTTGTACCTGCAGCAACATCCTGCAGCCCAGATCCTCAATGCAAACTCAGCTCCAAAGATGAAAATAGCAAATGTTTCCTGCATCCAAGAACAGAAAGATTTGATTAACTAAAATCCAGTTAGCTAAAACCTACAAGTTGGTGGATTTTTTTTCCTATTAAACGGCACTCGGTTTGAAGGGTTACTGCCTCAATTGTTAATGGCTCTAATGGAATTGTTCAGACTAGCAATGCAATTAATTCTTTTTACATGAACTCCTCTGTTTTCATTTTGTCAGATAATTTAATTTTTTTTTAACATACTCAGAGCCTCCAAATGATGCTAGTTAAATAAACAAATCATCTGATTGAGAAAAGAAAGCAGCACAGGCAGTTTCCTAATCTACGGGTAGTTAAATTAGAAGTCATTAGCAGAACAGTAGCTGTGACACATCACATATGAACATAGATTGGTTCTGATACTCCTCCAGTCTCTGCAGGATGATTCTGAAAATTCCATTTCCTTGTCGAAACTCCAGGAGGTCCCTTTCAGCTCTCTTTGCCTCTCAGTGTTCCGCTCTACTGGTCTAGACCAATCAACCAATACTTATTGACTATCCGCTAGGTGTCAGATCCCTTCTTTCACCCTACCTGAATTGTGTCTCTCCATTTTCTACTTCCCTTCTTCCTTCTTTCTGTGTCTTACCTTAAATAAACAATGGAAAGTAACACTAACATTTTCTGGCTTTCATGTAAGTTTTAAGTTTTGCAAAGTGCTTTGTATCTCATTCAGAGACCACAAAGGCTGCAGGGTCCTGAGACTGAGAGGAAAGGCATATGGGAATTCTTCTTTTCTGGAAACACTGCCATTCTTGTCTTATTTCTTTCTTTTACTAGACTAGCCACTTCAAGAGGTATACTCTATCCTCATTCTGTCCAGACTTTTATCTCTCTGATTTTGGAATAGGTAATCCTCAGTCTCCCTCTAAAGTGATTTCCTTATAGAATTACACAAAGATAATTTCTACTGAAGAAACTTTTATAAATCCAACATAACTGTAATGTGATGAGGGAATGATGTTTTTTGGCCTTTCCCTCACCAAAACAGCCGTTAGAGATTGGAATGGACTGCTACCCTGCCTTCTATTGTAACTGTTGGCTTATTTCTGATTTCCAACTACTCCAAGAACATTAATGTCTTTTTTTTAAGTCTTGAAACTGAACTTTTTACTAGCCTACTACCAATCCTGGTGACCCTCTGACTAACCTGATCTTCATCCTGGCGTAGCAGCTACCCTAAATTCAACAATAGGTAGGTGGCCCACATGATAACAACAGGTCAGGGTTAGCAGGACCTTTGACTTACCAATAATAGCAGCCAATCTCCTGAAACAGTCTCGTACTCCTTGAATGTGGTCAGTACTGCCAAGATTAAGCACCCCAGAACGATTAGAAACCTAGAAGGAAGAGAGGAGATATAAAGGAATGGCTCAGCCCTTCTGCACCTGCAACTCTCTGCTCCTTAATTCTTAAGCTGATCATAGGATGATTGAGAGTTGATACAGCCTCCCCCTGCCTCCAAGAGAGATGCCTTTAAACTCCTTCTCAAAAAGATCATCCCCACTTTAAAAATAAGTTCTGCCCTCCCAGGTAATGCATTGCATTCTTACAATCCATCTAGCCTGGGAAGTTTTCCCTAGGGTCTTGCCCAAATGGCTCCTCCTACAATTAAAGACCATTAGCCTTGATTGGCTCTGTGGAACAGCTGAGAACAATGATCTTCTCTTTACTGAGAAGGATTTGGTTCAACGGCTGATGCCAGGAGCCTGCGAGAGGCTCGCACAGTCTACATGCAGTGGCTAACTGAAGATCCAATGAGGAGGGGATGTTATAGGTTTTAAGGCTCTCTGACCCTCTTTTCTCTATTATGATCTGGTTGGCCCCACTCGCTTTCTGTTTTCAGAACTAGGTTTTCCCTTTAATCTTTCTGACTTGAACCTCCAGTCATACTTCATAGAGTTGTTACGGTCAAATGAAGAAATATATGGAAAGTGCTTTGAAAACTTTAAAGCGCTCTCTCTCTTTTCAAACACACATATATACACATACATATATACACATACATACATGCAGATATACATACATATGTTGGTGTTCATAACTCTCATCCTCATCATTGGCTTAGCAAATTCGACTCAACGATTTTGTCTGGGCAGCCAGACTCTAAGAGTTTCCAGAATCTTATGGGCCTTAGAGTTCATCTAATCTATCTCCTATAAAACTAATGAGTACCCTCTTCAACACCTCTATCAAGTGATTATCCAGCCTCAGTGGTTGCTGAATTCCCTTGATCACGTTACTCCTCTGTTCCTTATTGCCTAAAGGTTTAATTCCTTAGCCAGCATTCTCAGGGCAGCACATTTCATGTTTTTCTACCTCTCATTACTAGGTAAAGAGGCACCATAGCATAATGGCTTAGAGCGCCTGGAAAATGTTGACTGTGTGACTCTGAGCAAATCACTTAAATACTCAGTATTCTAGACAACTCTGCCAGACGTCAAACTGCAGAGAAGATGCTGACCTGTGTTGGTAAAGGGAGCTTCCTTATCTAGGAAAGGTCTCGTCACTATCTCTATATCTATTATTAGAAGGGTCTTCTTTATATTAAGCAAAAAATCTATTTTTATTGAAATTCTGCCCCTAGAGTCAAATAGAAAAAGTCTAATCTGTCTTCCACATAACAACCTTTAAATATTAAAAAAAAACCTGATTCTTTAAATATCCACAGTTCCTGCCATCTACTCTGATTTCTATATGTTCTGATTTCTATATGTTTTATCGCCCATTAGAATAAAAGCACCTTGTGAGGACAGGGGGTTGTTTTTGCTTTCTTTGTATTCCCAGGATGATGCCTAGAACATACTAAATACTTAATAAATGTTTGTTGATTTAACAATTTCTTTGTTGACCCTCCTATGGCCTGGCTTCATCTTGGTCTTCTTTGTACAGGCTCCAGCATTCTAACTTCCCACCTAAAATGCATCGCTCAGGCCTGGACCCAACATTTGCATCCCCTGAGTTCATGTCCTCATTTCCAAGTCCTCCCAAGATTTTGATCTCTTTGTTTCCAAATCCAACCAGGAAGTCTGTTTTCTACCTAGGTTTGGTGATTTGACTTGGTGTTCTTGGCTGACTTGGGCCCTGGATACTAACCCTGATGTGGTAGATCATGTAAAAGCCCTATGCTACCCTCTGCCTTTAATGTGTAGTGCTGTGTTCTAAATAGGAGGAGTGAGAAATGAGTTTCTTGCTGAAGCCCAGAGGGCATCCAGAATGTGAGGAAACTTCTCATGCAACTTCCTTGGATCTGATGGACTGGATCATAGTCTAACTTTCATTAGAATGAATTCATAGAGTAAAATGCCAACCTCTAGAACCAGCACTGCCTATGGCAAGTAGCACCATCTGGGGCAAACAACCCGTCATGTCGCTTTCTTTTGACTTTATGCCTTACAAGGGGATAGCAAGAGCAATGAAGTGGATGGAATCTGCGAGTTAGATGGAGCTGTAGATGTCATCCAGCCCAACTCAGTGGTCAGGGTCCCATGCTGTTTCTTTTGCACCCCTGAGGCCTTGGGCAGCTCCCTTTGGCAGAGCTAGTGGCAGGGAGGGTAGCACCAGGACTGTGACCTGTCCTGTGACGGGGCTGAAAAAGTGACTGAACAACAACACCAATAACAGGGCGTTCATCTTTAGGCAACTCTGGTTGTTAGGAAGTTTTTCCTTATATCCACCCTAAATTTGCTTCTCTCTAAATCCCACCGACTGCTCTAATTTTGCCTTCTAGGACTAGGCAGAGCAAGCTAATCCTTTTCTACATGACATTTCTTCATATATATATATATGTATGTAAGTGTGTATAGAGATAGATAGATGTAAATAGAGAAATATGAAGAGATACACACATAAACATATGCACACATATGTCCACATGTGTATGTTAATATGTACATACATGTCATGTACATGTCATCCTGATGTCAGGTTCTATAACCCAAGTTCTTTCGATTTATCTAGATATAGCATTTTCTTGAGTCAGCCTCTTCCCATTCTAGCTGGCTTCCCCTGGAGTTTCTCTAATTTATTAAGCCTTTAATACACTATTGGGTCCAGAACTGAATACAAGAGTAGTAACTGTTGTCTGAGCAGAACAGAATACAGAGGCATTCTCATCATGCTGGGACACTATGCATCTACTAATGAAGCCTGACATTATATTAGCTGCTTTCCATGACATGTCACCCTATCAACTTGTATTAAGTTTACATTACATTAAAGCCCAAGAATATTTTCATTCATTGTTATCTTGCTATGTCTCCCTCGTCCTATATTGGGAGAGTTGTTTTTTTTTTTAACTCAAGCACAGATTTTATATTTTCCGTATTCAATCTCATCCAGTTAGATCTGGCCTTTTCCATCATTGAGAGAACTGTGGCTCCTGAGTTGGTTGTCCATGATAGCTTTCTTTCCTAGCTATAAATTTGATAAGCATGCCATCTATGCCAATGATTGAAATGTGCAGAAAAGGATCAAGGGCAGATTCCTTGAGCACTCCATTACAGGTCTTCCACCAACTTGACAGTGACCCATTAATGACTCCCCTTTGAGTCCATTCATTCAGCCAGGTCCAAATCTGCATAATTGTACCATCATTTAGCCTACATGGAAATTTTAAGTAGCTTTGTCAAATGTTTTGTTGAATTCCAGGTATGTTATATCCATAGTACTCCCCTAATCATTATACTCACCTGTTGCTTATTGCCTGAAAATCGTCTTCTAAGGCAGATATTCAAAGGCCTCCACAATCTGCTAGGACTTAACCTTTCTAATCTTTTCTCATAATATTTCTATCCATGTGTGCCAATGCAATTGACTTATCTCTGTCTTCCAAGCACATCCTGCATTATCATGCCTATATATCTTGGTTCACATTGTTTCCTTCTCTTGAAATACCTTGCTCTCAGTCTCCCAGTGTTTCTGCCCACTAAAATCCTACCCATTCTATAAGGCCCAATTCAAATTCTATCCCTTCCATGAAACCTTGCTGGATTCTCCAAAATCAGTAATGACTTTCTGTCTAGGATTTAAACATTTCTAACGTACTTACTGTATATTCTTCTTCTTTGTGTGTAGGTCATATCATGCTGTCAGATTGTATACTCCAAGAAAACAAAAATGATACCTCATTTAATATTTACAGCTACTCTAGAACCAAGCACAAAATAAGCCCCTAATAAATATTTGCTAAAGATGAAGTTAAAGATTGTTAGGAAGAGTAACTTTCTCTGTAAATATCTTTCCCCATTCTACCAAAATTTCACCATTAGAAATTCATTACTTGGTGTAAACAATATATTTTCCCTTTCTTATTGTCTTTAAAAAATGCAAATAGCCTAAGGAAAAGTAATACAATAAGTCCTTACTATCATAGCTTGGTAGGTGTCTTCTTTCTCAGACAGAAGGAACATGAGCAGCAAAACTTGGTGAAAAGGACATAGGACTTGGAGTCAGAAAAACTGGGTCTAAGTTCCAGCTAACTGTCACTTACTATCCACGTGACTTAGGGTCAATTGTTTGAACTATCCCAGTTTCCTCATCAGTAAAATAAGGAAAACAATACTTGCCCTGTTGTTGCGCAGTCCAACAGGAAATTTAACTGTTTTAGGAGTTCTTAACCTGGAATCTGTGAACTTTGTTTTAAATGACATTTTGGTAAATATATTTCATTGTAATTGGTTTCCTTTGTAATCCTTTGCATTTTATTTTATTTTATTTTTGCATTCAGAAGCATTACTGTGACATACTCTGTCCATAGGCTTCAGCAGATGTCCATAAGAGCAAGGGTCCTATGACACTCAAAAAAGTGAAAAACCTCTGGACCAAATAATCTCTAAAACCTCTTTTAGCTCTAATAATATTCTGTGTTCTAAGATCCTTTCCAGGGCTCGTCTTCCGTGGTCTATGGTATCTTCTATCTCTAATATTCTGTGTGCTATATTCTGCCAATTTATGTTCTCAGGTTCTTTCCAGCTCAAAAACTGAAATAAAAGTATGATAATTTGTTCATCATCTCCTTCCATTGCTGTGGACAACAGGGGACCAAATAATGAAACACCATGTCCCTTGCTCTCCAATCTAGATGGAATGCTGTGAGTTTGTCTTTAGCCAGAAGGGGGAAGCAAAACCCTGCATGTCAGTGTTTCTCAAGCTTAGGAACCACCTAATCCATTCCCTTTATTTTCCTCTCTGACAACGAATACCCCCCAACCTCCCCCAAATAATTTGAATTCCTAAGCAACCCCCAGAATTTACTTTATGAGATTTGACAAACAATGATAAAATGATGATACTTCCTTCTAAGACATTCATCTAAAATGCTAAAATCATCAAGAAAGTC